AAAAAAAAAAGTGGATATCTTTAGCTGTCCCTTACTGTACATATTTAAAAGTAAAATAAAAAAATGATATAATATAAAATTACTAATAATCCTATTTGACAACTTTTCGTAAGAATATAGCATTAGCTAATTTTTATCTTTCAAATGATCAGTTAGGCTCTGAAGGAAGAAATATATTAGCAACAATTCTTGATAAAATACTATATTAAACAGTTTAAATCTTATAACAATCAACTTGGTCTTGAGCATCACAAAATTTTAAAATCAATGATCAACTCATTGTGGAATTTTAAAAAATAAATATTATATAGTCAGACTTCTCTAAATGCATACTCTTGGGACCAGCTTCAAACTATGTATTTAGGGAGGGTTGTATTTAGAGAATAACCAATAGAAATACAGCAAATGTATGATCACATGTAATAATTATTGGCCAATGATATTTTATGTATGTTCGTACAGTATGCACGTATGTACGATATATTACCTTAAGAACATTATAAACTTTCAAAAATTTTTTTTATGATATGAACTTTCGCTCTTTATTTTACTAGATTGTGAACTTACACTTTTTATTTTATTATATTATAAACTTTCGTTTACTTCATTTATTGTAACAAAGCCAAAATCTAACTCTAATTTGAATAAGCATATGTCTAACTTTTTAGATATACATTTAATCACAGTATTAGGTACTTGATTTTTTTTTTTTTATACTTAGAGAAAAAGAAAAAACTAGATAAGATTTAAATAAACCCACCAACTACGTTTTAACTATATTTTAACTTGAATATAAATTTGAACAATTTTATATTGTTATATCAAAAGATAAGTTTTTTTTTTTTACTCAACCACAGGATTCAATTCAGTAATTATCGGCATCCTAATTATTTATTTAGAGATAAGAAAATATCATTAGACAAAGCTTAATTTTATTAGCTTTATTGTTATGTACGATGATATACGTATATTATCAACTGGTTCAAAGAAAGTTTCTATGTTTAATTGTTTAAACGAAGCATTCCAGAGCTTTCTTACTAACTCATACAATTTTGACAAAGCTACGTCATATTCTGTTTGAACCACATAATTAAGATCTTGTTGCATAAGATACAGCTCCATCTGGTATACAGCATCTAATGCTTCCTTATGAGTAATTTGGGGCATGTCTATACTGTCATCTTCCTTATCACTTTTAACCTGTTGAGGTTCCTGATACATGGCTTGGTTTAAAATTTTCTGGTCGCTCATTATTTCTGTTACAATTTTTTTTTCTAAATAATCTATATATTCTTCAAGATCTATTACATTTTGAAAATTAATCAATTCGATGTTATTATACAACTCTTCCATTATATCATCATCATTATCATTAGTGGTAGGTTCTTTGTCATTATCTTGAACTAATGGAAGAATTCTTGTGTGTTGAAGGCAATTTTTTATGGTTTTCAATGACACTTCTCTTCATCCTCGAACAATGAATTTTATAGTAGTAAGAATATCCAATTTATTATCTTTTTAGACTCGTACTGATCAAGAAGCTACTTTATAAAGTAACTTCAGTAGTAGCATTTGAAGAACATAATGACAACAGCATCTATAGGTTGTAGGCGAGATGTTGTATATGGGGGAAAGAATTTAATGGTTGTATTACGATGTTTTAAATTACCAACAGAGTGAACTTTTGTATTATTCATTAGAAGAATTACTTTGCAACCAGCCATTTTTAAATCAAATTTCTTAAGCCATTTTTGAAACAATAGAACTGTCATCTATGCTTTTTGACTTGCATCGTACATAACATGAAGGCTGCGGTAATTAATAGATTTGAAGCAACGTGGATTGGGCAACTTACCAATAACAAATGGCATCATTTTATCTGTTCCATCAGCATTGGCACAAAGTGCCAATGTTAGCCATTCTTTATTAATTTTTTTCCTTTAAGACAAACAGTTGCAAGCGTAGTATCTGGCACTAGACTAGAAAAAAAAATTTTAGCTATTAATTAGTATACAGGGAAATACTATAGATTACCAAATGATTTACTTGTGCTGTACAAGTAAATTGTTTGGTAACCTGTGGTACTCCCATAGCATTATTTATTTATACCAATAAAACAATCCAGTCTTATCTATGTTATATATATCCTTCAAGTTGTAATCTTTTAGGGTTTCTTTTAGGTCAGGAATAGCAGTTCTGATAACTTCTTCATCTACAGAAGCATCTTCTCCGTGTTTTGTTATTCTTTTTAATCCGTGTCTTTGTTTAAACTTATATAGCAAACCATGTGAGAACTTGAAATCATCTTCAGGTATGTTTAACGATTTAGCAAAACTTTTTGCTTTTTCTACTATAATCTTATCAGATAGGATTATTCTTTCTTGACTTTGTAGGATCCATTCAATCAATGTATTTTCAAGTACTGGGTGTTGAACTGCTCTCTGTCTTTTGCTATGGGATTTTCTCTAATTTCTTCTTTATTCTTTATTAAATGGCTAATAGTAGTTTGATGAACTGTTAGACCCATTGTTTGCTTTACCCAACTGCCGAGGTCAGCTTGACTAATTTGAGGATTTTTTCTTTGTGCTTAATTATATCTTTTCATTGTTCATTGGTAAGTGTAGTTTTAGTTTCTTTAGATTTTTTGGAAGACCTTTCGTTTAATGTAAAATAAAGGTTAATAAGCCAATAAGTGCTTCTCTCTTTAATTTATAATTCAAATGATTATAATCCAAGATGGGGTTATTGCGTTATCATGAAATGCATAAAGACGTTTATATCTAAAAGCTATTCTTGTTATTCTTTTAACAGTTATTGCTTAGCATAAGCGTGGAAACATTTTAAGACACTACATTTCAAAAAAGGTAATAGGTACACATATTTTTTTTCACATACAATATTTTTGGAATTTACTGATTCATATTTAATATAATCCAGAATCGATATAACAAAGAAAATTGGACCCAGAGCTAGAACGACAAAGAAAAAGAAATAGATATACAACAAATGCTTATTTCATATATATTTTTGACCTTTTTTAAAAAATGCTAACCTGTACTTAATTTGATGCAGGTCAGGACAACAAGAAAAATTAGACCCAGGGCCAGGATAACAGAGAAAAGAAAAGGAAATAAATGCTTATTTTCTATATGATTAATTTTCTTTTTTGTTTTTTAAAAAAAAATAATTATGAGAATTTTGCTCCATATTTGATTGGATCCAGGGCCAGGGTAAAAAAATTGGATCCAGAACCAGGGTAACAAAGACAAAAAAAGGAATAGGCTTACATCAATTACTTAATTATATGTGATTTTTTTTTTTGAATACTCAATTAGATCCAGGGCTAAGTTGACGAAAGGATCCAGGGCCAGGGTAACAAAGAAAATTAGACCAGGGCCAGAGCAAAAAAGAAACTTGACAGTACGAGTATGTGATATATGCATAAATGTATATATATACGTATATACTGTATTTACCTATTGTCTTTAATTTATATTCCATTAATTGATTAGTTAATCTAATCAATTAATAATTTTATTAGACAACTAATCGATCGACTAATCGACTAGTTGTTTTATATAATATTATTTTTAATCTTGTAATTAATGGCTATACAATTATATCCAAGCTATTTCGATATACCAACTAATCGATTAGTTGGCAACAATCGATTTCTAATCGATTTTTTAAAAATTTTTGGCCAACTAATCGATTGCATTTTTTGATCCGATTTGTAACACTAATTGTAAGTTAGTTTTTATCACTCTTTTTTATTTAGCTGGATTAGCAATATCATAATTTTTTAGAGTCTCGTAACTGCTTGATGACAATATGAAAGTTACTTCAACTTTGTTGTATTTTGTGGAATTCATTTAATTATTTATACATTTCTATTTTATTGATAAAATTCACAAAATATGATGAACATAAGGTAGCAAAAAAAAAAATTACGATAATCATTGATCAAATTAAACAAAAAGAGTAATAATTGTTGCATATGTTTTACATCTTATTTTATGCTACATAATCTATGTTTTGCTAACTAGTCTCGAATATAAGGCATCATTTATTATCAAAAACTTGCTGAGATAGGGGGTGCCAGTAGAACTTTTAGTGGGTATTGCTATGGAAGTGCTAAGAGATGAAATTAAGCATTTATTTATTGGAATCCGTGAGATAGATAATGATATAGGAATATTTAATGTTAGTTATTGTTGTCTAGGGGAATTGGGTTGAAAATAATAAATACAAGGCATTTATTTGGTTATTAACATGTTACTAAAATGAAGATTGTTTAAAAAAAATTTAGAATTTTAATAAAATTCTATTTTAAAATAAATAATATTTTTATATTTGATAATACGTTATCTCAATTTGATTGGCTGTTAGTCACATAATATGCATTTATAGAGGGATTTATTATATGTGGGCCAAAAAATTAGTATGTATTTGCAGAATAAAGAATATGCATTTATTTATTAAGCCCGTCAATGGGCCAGACAATTAATATGCATTTAAAGAGGTTATGCATTTAGGGAAGATGCATTTAGAGAGGTCTGACTGTACCTTTAAAAATAATTACTATAATATACAACTAGATATTTAATAATATAATTAAATAACATTGTATCGAAAATATTAAACATTGCAATATTTAATGAACCCTCCAATTTTCAATACTTTTTATATCAATTAACCCAGGTTTAATCATCTAGATTTATTTTTTTTTAATTTCGTGATGAGGGTGTGATAATGCTAGCAAAAGTACTTTAGCAAAATAATACACTAACCTCATTGAATATTAATAAAATTTATCCCAGCCCTGATGTTGGAAAAGTATTAGCAAAGGGACTTTATAAAAATACTACTATATCAAACTTAGATTTTTCAAATAATTTCTTAGCCCAGAAGGAGGAAAAGCATTAGCAATGGTTCTTTATATTCATACTTGACTCATCTTTATCTTCGACATAACAAACTTAGTTTCAAAGGGGAAAAGCATTTGCTAAAGAACTTTATAAGACAATACTCTAAAACTTTTAGACATCTCAGATAATCAGCTTAGTATTGAAGTTGGGAAGGAACCTTTACAAAAAGTACTTTTGCATCTTTATCTATTAGTAATAATGATTTTAGAGAAGAAATAGAAAAATATTAACAAGTGCTCTTCAATTTAATACTGCTTTAACTTTTTTGCATTATTCTAATAATTGATTTGGTTCTGAAGGTGACAAAGTGGACAAAATATAGTAAGTAGGTGTTACCTATACTATATATTATCCAACAAGAGCACTTGAAAGAACTTTACTCTAATTTACCTGGATATCAAGGACAATATGCTTTGCTTTGAAGGAAGGAAAACACTTGCTGATGCCCTTTGCAAAAATAATGTTTAACTTCTTTGAATATTAATAAAAACTTAACTTTGATGTCGGAAAAGCTTTAACAAGAACTCTTGATTCAATACTACTTTAATACATTTATATTCTGAGAAAAATAAGCTGGCTAGTAATCAAAATAGTACACAACTACAATTATATTTATATAAAATTTTTTTGATGACAAGTTGAATATGCAAATATGATATACCTTATCAAAGTTTTCTCCAACATCATTCTCAATGCTATTATCTAGCAAACGTGACGATTTTCATTTATTGTGACAGATTAAAATAAAATCAGATTAAAATGAAATTAAGGATAGTGTAAAATAGGCAAGCTATCAAAAATTACAAATTTTGAAATGCTTTTTTTTAGTATTTTTTTAGGATTAAGGTTTAATAGTAGATTTTATAATAAACAAGTATAAGTGAGTTTTAGGGGTTAAATAGAAACCCTAATTTTATTTTAATTTAATTTCATTATAATCAGCGACATTCATTATAATCAATCAAAATAAAAATTGAAATTGATATTTGAACGATTTATTATTTATCAAATGTTGTCGCCACTGGGTTTAGGTCTTCGTTGATATTTGATTGTTGTATGAATGAAAATTATTAATCAAATAGTAAATTTGTTGCTGGCAAAAAAATGATATTCATTCGTAATTGTTTTCTGGTATTTTTTTATTGTTTATAAAAACTTTAGTGTAAAAAATAACAAAATAATAATTCATTGATAATGACAGATCTTTTTGAATACTCAATTAATTGTAAATTTTGACAAGTTTTGGGTATATAAAAAAGATGGTCTAGGACAAAAAGTTTGTAAATTAAAATGACGAACTCACTTGTATGCTGTATGTAATCCAATAATACTAAGTAACAATTACGTATAATGCACGCATTTACGACTATAAAGATTAATTATCTGACATTTTATATGATCATATGAATTTGTTTGCTATGATATTTTTTATGCAATTCTTGAATGTGTACCAGGCTGGTGGCGCATTAATTAATGCAAGTAATTTGTGCCAATTAAAAAAAAATTAAATAATAACGATTATGATAGAATAGAACAAAAACACTTTTCTAATGTTATTTCTCTTATTTCTATTCAAATTGTATTTTTTCTATTTTCAAAAAAGTGCACTTCCCTTTACTTCTTCATAACATTTAGTTTCTAATATTATTGTTTTGAGTTCAGAGAAATGCTCATATTTATTTACTTTTATAATATTTATAAATTATAATTTTTAAAATTTTTACAAGCCAAAATAATGACAACTCATCAAAATTCTTAATAAGCATATAAAAAAATATTGAATTTAAAAGTACGGT